CCCCAAAACCCCAAAACCCCAAAACCCCTTGATAAAAGATATTTTAAAGTAGATTATTGGTGGTTATAAATAAAAAATTCAAAATGTCATAATCTTCGTCCTTTTAATAGTCGTTTTAGAGCGGCCTAGACACCATAAATATCTATCAAAAATCTAAAAGCAGTCATTCTTAAGAAACTCAAGTCCTTCATTCAGATGATGAGATAGTAAATGATGCTAATTATCACGATATAAATAATGATGATTCTATGAATCATGGATTTTCGCTTCATAATGATCAATTGTAGAGTCATGAAGAAATTCATTATAACAACAATCTAAGTTAATCCAAGCAAGTATTAAACAATACAATGCCCTCTCCATTAATTACTTAGTATATTTCACCAGATAGTCCAGAATTTAAGGAGTTCGATCTATTCCTATAAGAAAATTTTGCTCAAGCTAATAGTAAAAATCTGTGTGTTTAATGCTGGTGCTTATGCAACAGATATCAATTGGGTAAGCATAGAGAACAAAAGCATAAGACTCTAACACCGAAATTTTTCAAAGATATAGATGCTTTTATTAATCTAGCTTAGCAATGTGGGAGATATAAGGACGATAAGCAATTGAAGAAAAGACTATTCGAAAAGATAACTGCTCATACTGATTTCCTGCATTCAACATCTGTATTTATAAAAGCTAGTTAATTCTTAAATTATAGGCTGTTTTAACTTCTTGCACAAATTCATATAGACAAGAAGGAAATCAAGCTATCAATCAGATTATTAATAGTGGAGTCGGACTTTACTAGCTGAACCCAGAGGAAATGATGATGCCAAATCCAAGAATTATAGCAAGTCCTTAAATGATATAACCTTCTTTAGATGCGTACAACTTTACCCCGATAAGTAATCTCTAAATTATAATCATTCTATTTTAGACCTTATACCCAATTTCAATGCAAGTAACTCAAATTCTGATAATGTAAATATCAACAACTTTAACAATTAAGACTTGGGAGGGAATTTTATCAGAGATCAGAAAAATTAAAACACAAAAAGTCTATTGAAAAAGAGACCTTTTTAAAATTCGACAATAAACTCTTCTTAAGAGTATTATTCAGATTATGATGATGATTAGAATTACAATGGATCAAATTCAAAGTCTTTGAAAAGATTGTATAACATTGTATTAAAAAATTAAAGAGATAACGAGTCTACCTTTGACTAAATAGAAAAAGAGCAATAATTACTAAGAAATATGTGCACTTAAATTAAATCAAGTCTTGATATGGTTTTAGATTCATTGATAAACTCATCTTCCCAATAAATATAAATCAACAGTAGTATTATTAAAAACAATAGATTAGATAAGGCAAAGGTTCAAAATTGAAATGATATAGCTGGTGCTCACGATCGTTAAGAAATGAAATATTAGCATAATGGTCATTATACTGCATAAAATATGTAAAGCAATATTAATCAATAATAAGATTCTATTTTTGCTCCATTTTTGGGACAATATGATAAAAGATAGTCAAACTATTAGAATAAATCCATTTGCAAAAGTATTTTCGAATAGCAATCTGATGAAGAGGAGGAAAATAGGAGTTTCATCACAAATAGAGCAGTAAAAAGAATGAAATCTTAATAAACTCAACTTCAGACAGAACAGACAAGCATTATTGAAAATCTAACTTGTAATGAGTCTTTTGATTCTATGCCAATAAATAACAATTATAGAGGTCAAACGTAGAAGCAGGCATTTAATTCATTTGAATCTTAGACATTCAATCAGCAACATCAGAATAAGATCTAGGATTCCTTACTTTAAAGGAGACATCAAGGAAATTTTTGAAATTATAAGTTTGATTAAAGCTACTTACTATTAAAAGTTAAATAGTCATGTCATTTTTTTAATTAAAATTGAGTTTGTGGTTAAAATATAATAGCTTTAAAATCTAAATTCGTAAAACTTTCGAAGTTCTATTTTTATTGCATTTTAACTGTTGGATAATTAGGATAAACTTACCAAATTTATGAAATGTACTTAAATTTTGCTTTGCGGGGTTTTGGGGTTTTGGGG